ATGTGATATAGTGGTCAATAGTTCAATGTCTACCTTCAATTTAATTGTATTAACTGCCCTTATAAACGTTAGAAAGTCATGAAAATAAAAAATGACATCACAACTTATCGTTATAAAATCAATATTTATTTTATTAAAAGTTAATAATTCAGGTTTGTTTATCAGTACCATAGCAACGGTCAACTTCCGCTGGAATTGTCGGATAGGAACCGTCCGTAGCTTTTCGCAAGAGTTCAAATTTTGGAACGCATCCGGATGACCAACGGACACGATTTTCTTCGCACCGCACTCGGACGGAGCCGTTTCGGACCCATTCGCATGCGGTCTGCGAATCTCCATAGGAAATGAATGACTTCCGGTCGTTTCGCAGCCGCATCGGAGCTGATTTCAACTGCCAGTGTGAAGGCAGCGTTAGACTGTTCTGAACACACACATGCCACTCTCTCTCTCACACACACACACGCACGCACGTCTGGTTGGCTATCTTTGTGGGAACTCTCCATAGATGTAATGGCTTTTATACTGCACAAACTGTTTATTCTTTCCCCTACACTAACCCGACGCTAACCCTACGCTAACCTGACACTTACCCGACGCTAACCCCACACTAACCCCACACTAACCCTACACTAACCCGACGCTAACCCCACACTAACCCCACACTAACCTGACACTAACCCGACACTAACCCGACGCTAACCCCACACTAACCCCACACTAACCCGACACTAACCCGACGCTAACCCCACACTAACCCCACACTAACCTGACACTAACCCGACACTAACCCGACGCTAACCCTACGCTAACCTGACACTTACCCGACGCTAACCTGACACTAACCCGACGCTAACCCCACACTAACCCCACACTAACCCCACACTAACCTGACACTAACCCGACACTAACCCGACGCTAACCCACACTAACCCCACACTAACCTGACACTAACCCGACGCTAACCCTACGCTAACCCCACACTAACCCCACACTAACCTGACACTAACCCGACACTAACCCGACGCTAACCCTACGCTAACCCCACACTAACCCCACACTAACCTGACACTAACCCGACACTAACCCGACGCTAACCCTACGCTAACCCCACACTAACCCCACACTAACCTGACACTAACCTGACACTAACCCGACGCTAACCCTACGCTAACCTGACACTTACCCGACGCTAACCCCACACTAACCCCACACTAACCTGACACTAACCCGACACTAACCCGACGCTAACCCTACGCTAACCCCACACTAACCCCACACTAACCTGACACTAACCCGACACTAACCCGACACTAACCCGACACTAACCCGATGCTAACCCTACGCTAACCTGACACTTACCCGACGCTAACCTGACACTAACCCCGACGCTAACCCCACACTAACCCCACACTAACCCCACACTAACCTGACACTAACCCGACACTAACCCGACGCTAACCCTACGCTAACCTGACACTTACCCGACGCTAACCCCACACTAACCCTACGCTAACCTGACACTTACCCGACGCTAACTCCACACTAACCCCACACTAACCCCACACTAACCTGACACTAACCCGACGCTAACCCTACGCTAACCTGACACTTACCCCACACTAACCCGACACTAACCTGACACTAACCCGACACTAACCCCACACTAACCCCACACTAACCCGACACTGAAACGACACTAACCCCACACTAACCCGACACTAACCCCTCACTAACCCCACACTAACCTGACACTAACCCCACACTAACCCCACACTTACCCCACACTTACCCGACGCTAACCCCACACTAACCCGACACTAAGCCCACACTAAACTCACACTAACCCGACACTAAGCCCACACTAAACTCACACTAAACCCACACTAATTTGACACTAACCCGACACTAACCCCACACTAACCTGACACTAACCCCACACTAACCCCACACTAAACCCACACTAATTCGACACTAACCCCACACTAACCCCACACTAACCTGACACTAACCCACACTAACCCCACACTAACCCCACACTAAACCCACACTAACCCGACACTAAGCCCACACTAAGCCCACACTAAACCCACACTAACCCCACACTAACCTGACACTAACCCCACACTAACCCCACACTAACCCCACACTAAACCCACACTAACCCGACACTAAGCCCACACTAACCCCACACTAAACCCACACTAACCCCACACTAACCCCACACTAACCCCACACTAAACCCACACTAACCCGACACTAAGCCCACACTAACCCCACACTAACCCCACACTAACCTGACACTAACCCACACTAAACCCACACTAACCCCACACTAACCTGACACTAACCCCACACTAAACCCACACTAACCCCACACTAAACCCACACTAAACCCACACTAACCCCACAGTAACCCCACACTAACCTGACACTAACCCCACACTAACCACACACTAACCCCACACTAAACCCACACTAACCCGACACTAAGCCCACACTAACCCCACACTAACTCCACACTAACCTGACACTAACCCCACACTAAACCCACACTAAACCCACACTAACCCCACACTAACCGGACACTAACCCCACACTAAACCCACACTAACCCCACACTAAACCCACACTAACCTGACACTAACCCCACACTAACCTGACACTAACCCCACACTAACCGACACTAAGCCCACACTAACCCAACACTAACCTGACACTAACCCCACACTAAACCCACACTAACCCACACACTAACCTGACACTAACCCCACACTAACCCCACACTTACCCGACGCTAACCCCACACTAACCCGACACTAAGCCCACACTAACTCACACTAACCCGACACTAAGCCCACACTAAACTCACACTAAACCCACACTAATTTGACACTAACCCGACACTAACCCCACACTAACCTGACACTAACCCACACTAACCCCACACTAAACCCACACTAAACCCACACTAACCCCACACTAACCCCACACTAACCTGACACTAACCCCACACTAACCCCACACTAACCCCACACTAAACCCACACTAACCCGACACTAACCCACACTAACCCCACACTAAACCCACACTAACCCCACACTAACCCCACACTAACCCCACACTAAACCCACACTAACCCGACACTAAGCCCACACTAACCCCACACTAACCCCACACTAACCTGACACTAACCCCACACTAAACCCACACTAACCCCACACTAACCTGACACTAACCCCACACTAAACCCACACTAACCCCACACTAACCCACACTAAACCCACACTAACCCCACAGTAACCCCACACTAACCTGACACTAACCCCACACTAACCCCACACTAACCCCACACTAAACCCACACTAAACCCACACTAACCCGACACTAAGCCCACACTAACCCCACACTAACCCCACACTAACCCCACACTAACCTGACACTAACCCCACACTAAACCCACACTAACCCCACACTAACCGGACACTAACCCCACACTAAACCCACACTAACCCCACACTAAACCCACACTAACCTGACACTAACCCCACACTAACCTGACACTAACCCCACACTAAACCCACACTAACCCGACACTAAGCCCACACTAACCCCACACTAACCTGACACTAACCCCACACTAAACCCACACTAACCTGACACTAACCCCACACTAAACCCACACTAACCCCACACTAAACCCACACTAACCTGACACTAACCCCACACTAACCTGACACTAAACCCACACTAACCCACACTAACCCCACACTAACCTGACACTAACCCCACACTAAACCCACACTAACCCCACACTAAACCCACACTAAACCCACACTAACCCCACACTAACCCCACACTAACCCCACACTAACCCCACACTAACCTGACACTAACCCACACTAAACCAACACTAACCCCACACTAAACCACACTAAACCCACACTAACCCCACACTAAACCCACACTAACCTGACACTAACCCCACACTAACCTGACACTAAACCACACTAAACCCACACTAACCCACACTAACCTGACACTAACCCCACACTAAACCCACACTAACCCCACACTAAACCCACACTAAACCCACACTAACCCCACACTAACCTGACACTAACCCCACACTAACCCCATACTAACCCCAACACTAACCCCACACTGATTCGACACTAACCGTTAGTGTCGAATCAGTGTGGGGTTAGTGTTGGGTTAGTCTAACCCCACACTAACCTGACACTAACCCCACACTAAACCCACACT